ACTAATATTTTTACCCGCATGACTTATTGATCCGATTTTGTTTAAAATTGACCCATATCTAAATCGAACCGGACTCAAATTAAGTATATTTTTATTACTCTAGGGTAAGTACAATATATTATCTGTTTAAAGATAAGCCCTCAAACTTTCGATATTGAACGCTCACACTAACATCTATGGTGTTCGAACCTGAATCCTCAAAAAATAACAATAATTTTATTCCACATACACCACTTAGTTGATAAATTTTAAATTCTAAAATTCTAAACTAACTTTCATAATTTCATGATCAGCATCGAAGATGGAGGTTGTAGTGTTGTAGACTTGTCAATGAGTATTCCAATGGTTCTGCTGGAGGTAATAGGCTTGCAAATAACTGTAAGAGATTGAGTGATTGATCTAGAGAATGATTGCACCCAATAAAACAAGATTGTAGATAATTTGGAGAGAAGTAAGTTACTTTACCGGTATGCTTTATTCATAATTCTGCTCATATGTTCCCCTCATGCATACAAATATTTACAAAAGGATCTTCACAACTTGGTTTTCGGTTATTTCCTACCTTTTTCCAAGTGCAAAGTGCCTCATGCAGTAATTAATCATCGACCTTCCATTGCCGATGTTCATTCATTCACGATAAAAGTCTATTCTTGCATTTATAGTTAATGCATGCAACTTACAATGCTCAATCTCACATAGTATTGGAAACACTATTGGGAATGAGTATTTAAGGCTTTGATTTCCTACTTCCTTGTTGAGTGAAAGAGAATAAAGGAGACCTCGCGCGCCGCCGCTAGGGGTGTAAACGAGCCGAGTCGAGCTCGTATTGCTGAGCTCGACGACTCGAAAACTCTAAAATTGAGCTCGACTCGACTCGACTCGAAAACTCGCGAGTTTAAAATATTCAAGCTCGACTCAAACTCGAAATCCTGAACTGAAGCTCGTGAGCAGCTCGAAAAGGCTCGAAATGAAAAAAAAAAATCTTAAACTTAACTTGATTGAAGCCTCAAACTCGAACCTGAACCTTAATGCATGAAAATCTTAATGTATTCTCTTTAAAAAATCAATACATAAATATTAATATTTTTAATAAATTTTTTAAAAATATAATCTTATATATTATATTTTCGAGCTGCTCACAAGCTTTTCGAGTCGAGTATCAGTAGCTCGTTTCGGCTCGTTAAGAATTCGAGTCGAGCTCGAGCTCGAGTCGAGTCCATTCGATCCGAGTATTTATCGAGCATTGATCGAGTCGATCTCGAGTAGCTCACGATCTGTCTCGTCTCATTTACAGCCCTAGCCGCCGTCGCCGCCGTCTCGTCTCGAGTCGAGTCGGGTCGTGGTCGTGGTAATACGTCTCCGACACTCCGAGCGGCGAATTTCTACTATCGCAACGCGAAATGAAAATCGCAATGTGAATTTCGACTACCACAGTGCGAATTTGGAAACTGAGTTACGAATTTGTAAATTGAGTTGCGAATTTGTAAACTGAGTTGCGAAGTTAGAGTTCGCGTTGCGATTTTGTTGGTCATTTGGTAAATCCAAAAAAATTAGTTAAATCGTATATTATAAGATATTTTCGGTCACTGAGATTATTTTTTCTTTAAATAAAGATTAAGGATTTGATGACGGAAAATCCTGATCAGCATTATGAGTGCTTGAAAGTATAGTCAAAGTTTAGGAACACTGCTTCTTTTTTCAAGTTATTAATATCAAAATAATCAGTAAACCTTGTGTTTCATGTTACTTTATTTTGTATATAATAATTATAAATAAAATTGACTGAAAATCATTTATAAAATTATATTGACATCAAATATAATATTATTAATAATTATATATGATGAATATTTTTTTATTAAGTTAAGGTGGTTATAATAATATATATTTTAAATAATTTTATTTTAAATTAGTCTATAATTTTTTAAATATTTTAATTTCACCTTTAAATTGGTTATCATTCTAAATTAATCCTCAAATTTTTAAACATTTCATTTTCATCCAATTTTTAAAATTTCAATTTCACCCTTAAATAATGACTATCATTCTAAATTAATCCTCAACTTTTAAACATTTCATTTTCATCCCCAAACCGCGATCTTTATTCTAAATTGGCCCTAAACTTTTTCAATGCTTCAATCTTATCCTAAATTGTACTATATATTAATCACATCTCTTGTTAATAAAATTATTAGACTAAATTATATTATTATATGTTTGAAAAAAATTAGGTTAAAGCATGATTGAAATGGTGGAGGATTGAAGACCGACATTATTATTGGTGGAGGATTGAAGCAGCCCACACATGCAAGAGACAATACCAACATCTCAAATCAAAGAAGGAAAACAGGGCAAGTGACGTGCCACAGTCAAGCCCTTGCATGAGGTGTGAGCATCCAAAAGTTGTTGTCAACAGAAAAAATCTATGTGTTCAACCATATTTATTTCCAGCATCCTTACTCACGAATTATTTATTCACTTACGTATTCCCTTGCAATATCCCAGCAATTTCCCAATAAGCACCTTTTTTTAAAAAAAATTAATTATTTTCATAACTAATGGACACGTTATAAACAATGTGCCAGTTCACCCTATATATTCATTTCTCCATTGGCCCTATTTCCCTAGAAATTCACTCATTCTCTCTCTCCCTCTCGCTCGTCTTGCATGCTTTCCTTACTTCGTAATTTAAAAACTTCCATTTCATTTCTTTCTGGAGATTTCAATGGACCGACTCTCCAAGTGCAACGCAAACTATGTACCACTTACCCTTTGATGTTCCTCAAGAGGGCTGCCAATTCTTATGCAAACCGTACCTCCATCATCTACGAGAACACCCGCTTCACATGGCGTCAACCTACGAGCGTTGCTGTCGTCTTGCTTCGTCTTACAGTCTCTTAACATACACAAGAACCATGTTGTAAGTTTCACTCGATCATTCTTTGTATAATTTGATGCGTGGAAACTAGTGTTTTTCTTTTCGTTAATGTTATAGATAAAATTCCTTTGTAGGTGTCTGTGTTGGCTCCTAATATTCCGGCCATGTACGAGATGCATTTTGCTGTCCCCATGGCGGGGGCTGTTCTCAACACCATCAATACCAGGCTCGACGCTAAGAATATCGCCACCATTCTTCGTCACCCGAGGCCAAGGCCTTATTCGTCGACTATCAATACTTGCAGTTGGCTAGCGAGGCTCTTCGGATGTTGATGGCTGAACAAGGCCAGTCCTCGAACATGCCGCTTGTGATTGTCATAGATGACTTGGACTCTCCCACGGGTGTTCGGCTAGGGGATAGAGTACGAGCAGTTGATACACAATGGGAATCCGGGATTGTCCCCGTCGAAATCCATGACGAGTGGGATCCTATTGCACTCAATTACACGTCCGGAACCACATCGGAACCGAAAGGGGTGGTATACAGCCACCGAGGGGCGTATCTGAGCACTTTGAGCTTGATTTTAGGGTGGGAAATGGGGAATGAGCCGGTTTATCTATGGTCGCTCCCCATGTTCCATTGCAACGGTTGGACCTTCACTTGGGGCGTTGCGGCCCGAGTGGGACTAACGTATGCATACGCACACCTCTGCATACGATATGTATCGAAGCATAGCAACTCACAAAGTGACCCACATGTGCTGCGCGCCCATCGTGTTCAATATCCTCCTCGAGGCCAAACCGGACGAGTGCCGTGAGATTTCTTCTACCGTCCAAGTCCTCACCGGTGGTGCACCCCCCGGCGTCATTGCTCGAGAAAATGGAACACCTCGGATTCCACATAACGCACGCTTACGGTATGACGGAAGCCACCGGGCCTGCCCTAGTCTGCGAGTGGCAAGCCAAGAACCATTTGTCCAACGAACGTAAAGCGAAACTCAAAGCACGACAAGGGATCGTACTGACTTTGGAAGATGGACGTGAAGGACATGGAAACCATGGCAAGCGTCCCCCACGATGGGAAAACCATAGGGGAAATCGTGTTGCGTGGAAGTAGCATAATGAAGGGGTATCTCAAAGACCAAGAGGCAACCTCTAAAGCCTTCAAAAACGGAGGTTCTTCACCGGCGATGTAGGAGTCATACACCCTGACGGATACCTCGAAAAAGGACCGATCAAAGGATGTCATCATCTCCGGCGGCGAAAACATCAGCAGCGTGGAGCTCGAGTCGGTTCTGTACAAACACCCCAGGGTTCTAGAGCCGCAGTGGTGGCAATGCCGCACCCTCGGGGGAGAGCCCTTGCGCTTTCATATCGGTGCGAGAGAACGAGAGTGGAGAAACGGAGGATGTGAGGAAGCGGATATAATAGCTTACTGCCGGAAAACCTGCCGCATTTCATGGTTCCGAAGAAGTGAAGTTTCTGTCGCAGCTTCCCAAGACTTCGACGGGAAAGTACAGAAATTCAGCTGAGAGCTATGGCCAAAAGTTTCCAACTTACTGAGAACAAGTCTACGCCAGTGAATAAGGGAATTCCAGAATATCATGGGGTGCAACAACATGCCCAAATTCTGGCATTGTCACGCCTTTGAGAATCAAATTATTATATATACAGTCCTAGCCATCATTGTTGGAATAAACTATATCATATGCGAGTTACATGTATTTGAAGATGATGATGAACATAAAAAGATTTATTGTAATGGAGCTTGACATAAATTCCATTAATGTTGGCCAAAGATTCTCCCATCCATCCATCCAAAAAGGTCACCACTTGCTATGCTATCTGCTCTAATAGTAATTATACCTGTATTGTTAGTAATTGTAATTGTAATTGTATTTTCAAAATTAATTTGTGACTGTAATTGAAAGTTTAGAAAGATATAAGTGTCTATATTGTACATTCGGGATAGTATAAGGACAAATGTGAAAATATCCAAAAAGTTAAGGAACAAATTTAATGTTATGGGTATAATACATTTGGGGGTTTAGAAAATTAGAAATTGGAATTATGATTCGCAAATTTGCAATCGTAAAATCCGAAGAAATTGCCGTGAAGGGAGAATGGGAAAGTGGAGTCAATGTGCGATCGCGGCGACGATTCTGGCGCTCGGCCTCCTCTCAGTCTCGGCCGCCGCAAGACCCTGCAAGACCTTCTTCGTCACCTCCTATTCGATCTCCTTTGAAAACCCTAACGATCCTTCCTCCTCCTCCTCCAGCGGATTCGTCACCGTAGTCCGAGATCAACCAATTGAGTCTCAAACCATCCGATCCAATCCGTCCGATGTCTTCAGCTCCCTCCGTGAGCGCAGCAGGGACATCCTCAACGTGGTCGTCGCCCTTCTCTCGGCGCCGGTTGCGGCGCTCTCACGGCGGCCACCCTTTATTTGGTATGGCCTTCTTCTCGTACCGGTCTGATTAGCATCGAGCTTTTTTGGAGGAAGACGAGAGACGGAGAACTTAGCCCTAAGAAGGTTGGGTATGTAAATGTTCCCACCGTTAACGTCAAGGAAACCCTTGATCAAATTATATCTATATGTAAGTCTTTGTTTTGAATAAGCATCGTGTATTTATTGTTGTGATGGGTAAAACTATCTATGTCTATACATTTTATTTAAAGCCTATTGATAATTTGTAATCTAAATTCCATTCTGCATGACTCCTTCGAATGCTGTATCACGTTTGCTTTGTTATAATGTTTCCTTCATTTGTAATAGATCCAATTTATTTGTTTCTTTTTTTTATGCAAAACAAAATGAAACCATTGGTGAATTACCCTTGAAATTTGTGATGTATGTGGTTACTTGAGCATCAATTGTGATTTTGCTTACATAATCTGTTGCTTTGCAATAATAACATCTATATTGTTATCCTGTGTGTTTTGATTGTTGATTTTGCAGTCTTTCTATTTATAGCGATAGAAATCCCTCGTTAGGCTTTTAAGATTATGATTATTAATTTCTTGTTGCCCTTGATTTTATTTGATTGTATTTGTACCCCTCATCTGTAACTTTTATACGACACTGTTAATTTTTGTATGTGAACTTGTATTTTTTTTTCATTTTTCCTATCAATGATTTGTCGGATCAATTAACGAATGCCATCTGTACTTCTGGGCATAACATTGTCTGGTAGAATAAACAAAAGAAGCTGCTGATATGTTGGTAGATTATGGTGGTGCACCTCCTTTATATACCACCTTACCTGTTTCACTAGGCACCAATAGCTTACTTTCCGATATTGTTTTGGCAAACCTTAAGTTCTGTCATATATTAGTTAAAGTGTATGGCTTTAATGTTTTTTTTTTTGACAAATGTATGGCTTGTGTCTTAACATTTGGTTGTATTTTGGTTCTTTTATCCTTTTATATATCATCTTAACCTGTTTCGGTAGGCACCAATAGCTTACTTTACTGGTATTATTTAGGAGACCTTTGTGGTATATTCAAGTAAAATGTGCTAAATTAATATGATTTGTCCTCATCATTTGGTTGTATTTTGGAATTTCATCATCATAACCTCACCTTCTTCTAGGTGCAGTCCTGGGGGAGGTTTACTTTTCTGATTAAGAACATGACACGACTGGTTGAGCGTGGCTGGTAGGATAGCACACGTCTTCCTGCTAGGAAAACAGTGATTCTATTAGAGGTACCTTGAAGGATGATTTAGGAAATTAAACTTGGTTAGCATCTAAGCCGATTAAGAGCCAATTTCTTGATCTAAGCTCTATTCTGGTTCGTGGCTTTTTTTTAACATTGTTTTCTTTCATGAATGATGCATCATGAGCTCTCACTCATGAATACATTGGTCATTGGAGATGAGAGTGTAAGTTAGATATTTAGGCTTGTTGTGCTGGAAGCATTTGATGTTCCAAGACTGAATACAAATTTCTACTTCTGTAGCTATTAATATTTCGCTGTTTATTTTGGTTTACATTTCAGATCCTTTTCTTTTGTTGTTTGTTCATCTGCATTGATAACCTGTTTCAATGTTATAATGGTCTTGATAGTAATGTGTGTTTTGAAAGAGGCTTTTATGTATGGAACAACAAGCCTTGAGATTAAGGGCTGTGTCAACAGGGGTGAAGTCAGAAAATTTTAATTGGGATCGAGACTGAATTATTAAATTTTACGAGGGCCATGAGTAGTTTTACCATTTTATTAACTAAAAAATTTTGCGATTTTTGAAACTGAATGATATTTGGGGCCAAAGAAAAAAACTTATCATTTTACTTGCTAAAATTTTATTTTGAGGGATAAGAGTAACAATTTAACCAAACCAGAGGTTAAGGATGGCAATTTCCCAATCGTGATTCGTGACGGTCTCATCTTGACCCGTAGTTTTTTTGGGGGATCAGGCTGGGACTTGTCGTATTTTGGGTGAAACTCTTCGATTGTCTTGATATATATATATATATATATAATATATATATATATATCTATTAAAATGTTTTTTATTTCGTAATTATTTTTATGTATAGATACTTGAGTTTTTGAGGTTAGGTTGAATGACTTAGGCTTTTTTTTAAATAAAAAATAAATGGGTTAGATTAGGATAAAATTATGTTTTCATATTGTCAGATTGAGGTTAGGTCAGAATAAATGATGTTGATATTGGAATAATATGGGGGAGAGAGAGAAAGATTGTTAATTTTTGAAGGTTGGTTGCCCAAAATGTTGCAGGCCAAGCAAAATTGAATCGGGTTCCATCATGCAAGATGTAGCTGCCACAGACAGCGACCCATTTCCATTCCTTAAACCCCCCTCAAATGACATAAAATGTAACATTTAACGTGATTGTGCTTAGTAAATCCAATATTCTTAAAGATCCTTTGATTTTTAGTTTTTTTGGTTCCTTAAGTGCACCGTTTATTTGGTGGGTTTTTTTTTTCCCAAAAGAATTTCTACATTTGTCTCTAACTACTTGCATATGAGCAGTCGGTTTTGACCATCTTGGCGATGCGTGCCGGAGACGGAAGCTGGTGGGCAGCTTCGACCTGATCCACGTAATCAGCAACGACACTACGGCTCCGGACAAGATCCGGTGCGGTCCCCTCGATAACAACACTTTTTGAATATTCCAGATTCTCCTTCATACACCTTCATTTCTTTCATCAAATATTATGAAATTACATAAAAAAAACAACAACGAACAAACAATAAAAATTATATATATATGTAGTTGCATGGATATTGTACAGCACTCATACGTATTCTTATTTTTGACCAAATGAACTGGATCATTAACTTTTTGAATTAGGTCAAAGAATTCGAGTCACAAATTCTAGTAGATTATTTATGTGTTTATATTTGTATATATGAATAGTTTAGGTTGATTACAAAGGTAGTATTTTTCAAACTATTCTTTATAATTTATAATACACACTCAATAGATATAATTACGGAATTTCAAGAGAAAACAACATTCTTTTAACTATTGAGGCCACTCAATGAGTTTATATTTGTAATTTTTTATTATATTAGTATGTTTAAACCATATATTTCTAATTTCTTTATTTTTTTATATATAAAATTTAATTGGACATTCACTGAATCACTACGTGTTTGTGCTTGCATGCCCTACGCACAACTTGGTGGAGTGGTTGGACATATAATTGCACCTTCCCACGTGGACGGCCGAAAACTTCCATTTTGGTCCTTTTATTATTTTAAAGAAACAAGGTAGGCCAGTCAGAATCAGCCGTCAGATAATTTTTAATCATCTATATGGTTTAATTAGAACAAATAAAAGAATATATTTTGTTTTGTCTGAGTTTTTACTCGTATTTCTAATTCAAATTTAGTTTTTACCAATTTTACTTATTAAAACAAACTATCTTACAATCAGTGATGGTTTTATAAATACTTTAAAATATTCATCTCGTAACTCAATGTCATCACATCTTAACAAAATTGAACTAATGTCATCACATCTTAACAAAATTGAACTTCACGCCACTAAGCTAACACCATCGTTTGTGTTAAGATATACAATAATACATATACTAATAGTATGACCAATGCCAGGAAAAAAAAATATAATGTAAAATGGAAATAATGAGATTTGAACTTCGACAAAAAATTTGAAAGCAATAAATGATGAGAAAATATTATATTTTTTACAATAAAAAATATTATATTTGATAAATTGTTTGATAGATTTATATTTTTTAAATATTAGTTGATACAATATTTTAAAAGAATAAATTTAAGATTTATATATTTTTAAACTAAATTTAATAATTATATTTTTCATATTTATAATTCATGATTATATATATAATCTTAAGTTGAGTATTTCTAATAATTAATAATTTTATTCTTATTAAAAATAAAATATTCAAAAAATATAAATGATTCATACATTAATATATGAATATATTTTTTATTTATACATCTAAATATAAATATACATTTATATAAATATATTTATATTCGTTGTGTCTGTGCCTTGAACTCTTTCTTCAAGCCTATATTACCTTAAATTGAAGTATTTTAGAATTTAATTGAAGTATTTTAGAATTTAAATGAATTGGATCATTAACTTTTTGAATTAGGTCAAATAGAATTCGAGTCACAAATTCTAGTAGATTATTTATGTGTTCTTATTATATTTGTATATATATATTGAATAGTTTAGGTTGATTACGAGGTAGTATTTGTTCATAACTATTTTTCATAATTTATAATGCACACACGCAACAGATATAATTACTCGAAATTTCAAGAGAAAACAACACTTCTTTTAACTATTGATGCCACTTAATGAGTTTATATTTGTAATTTTTTATTATTATTAGTTTGTTTAAACCATATATTTCTAATTTCTTTATTTTTTTATATATAAAATTTAGGGTAAAGTATAGTATTCCGTTGCAATATGGTCCCCCAACTTAAACCACAGTTAGAAATTAGGATAAATTATATAAACGGTCATTGAACTTTTCAGTCACTTGAATTTCGGTCCCCCAACTTTTAAAACTTGCAAAATAGTCATCAATTTCATTCTAACCCCCAATTTCCAAAGTAATTCAATTTTATTCTAAACCCTAAATTCTAAAATACAATTTAACGGTAATAGGCTTGAAGAAAGAGTTCAAGGCACAGACACAACGAATAAAATATATTATATAAATGTATATTTATATTTAGATGTATAAATAAAAAATATATTCATATATTAATGTATGAATCATTTATATTTTTGAATATTTTATTTTTAATAAGAAATTAAAATTATTAATTATATTAGAAATACTCAACTTAAGATTATATATAATCATGAATTATAAATATGAAAAATATAATTATTAAATTTAGTTTAAAAATATATAAATCTAAATTTATTCTTTTAAAATATTGTATCAACTAATATTTAAAAAATATATTAAATCTATCAAACAATTTATCAAATAATATTTTTTTATTGTAAAAAATATAATATTTTCCCATCATTATTGCTTTCAAATTTTTTGCCGAAGTTCAAATCTCATTATTTCCATTTACATTATATTCTTTTTTTTCTGGCATTGGTCATACTATTAGAATATGTATTATTGTATATCTCTTAACACAAACGATGGTGTTAGCTTAGTGGCTCCACCCTATATCTTTCATTTGCGTGACTCAGGTTTGAGTTTGCCCAAGACCCAAATTTTACTTCTTGTAACTTAATTTTCTTCTAATTAGGAGGTGACATGTGTCACCAATAACACATATCATGATCATGTGTTAACACATGTCAGATCCTGATTAAATGATTAATTTATTAAATTTTATTTAATTTAGGACCAAATTGATAGCATATATAAATAATTAGGTGGTAACAGGTGTCACCAATGACACGTGTCATGATCATGTGCTAACACATGTCAGATCCTAATTAAATGATTAATTTATTAAATTTTATTTAATTTAGGACCAAATTGATTATATAAATAATAAAGATGAATGTATAATAATGTCAATTCCTTTTAACTGCCACATCATCATTTTTATCAATTGGTAACGACTAGTGGCTTAGTTGAAACAGTTAAATAATTATGTGGTATGATTGATAAATTTAAAAGATCGATGACAAAAGTAAAAAGGGCTAGATAGTTAAGTTGTCAACCGAGTAGTTTACACTTTTATTTATACGTCAAATAACATTTTATAAATTTAAAATTCGAATTATTTTCAACCTCTTTTATATCCTAACTACTTTTTTTAATTAAAAAATTTCTTCAACAGATAAGAATTATACTATTATATTTATATAAAAAATACGTATCACATGAAATAAGATGAAATTAAATAATAATAACTTTGACATAATTGAATTTAATTTAAGTATTTTGGAATTTAAGGTTTAGAATAAAATTGAATTACTTTGGAAATTGGGGTTTAGAATGAAATTGATGATTGTTTTGCAAGTTTTAAAAGTTGGGGGACCTAAATTCAAGTGACTGAAAAGTTCAATGACCATTTATATAATTTATCCTAATTTTCTAACTGTGGTTTAAGTTGGGGGACCATATTGCAAACGGAATAAATGTTGGGGGACTGTATTGCAAGTTTTAAATGTTGGGGGACCTAAATGCAAGCTTCTGAAATGTTCAGTGACCATTACTATACTTTACCCTAAAATTTAATAGGACATTCACTGAATCACTACGTGTTTGTGCTTGCATGCCCTACGCACAACTTGGTGGAGTGGTTGGACATATAATTGCACCTTCCCACGTTGGACGGCCGAAAACTTCCATTTTGGTCCTTTTATTATTTTAAAGAAACAAAGTAGGCCAGTCAGAATCAGCCGTCAGATAATTTTTAATCATCTATATGGTTTAATTAGAACAAATAAAAGAATATATATTTGTTTTTGTCTGAGTTTTTACTCGTATTTCTAATTTCAAATTTAGTTTTATACCAATTTTACTTTATATTAAACAAAATTATCTTACAATCAGTGATGGTTTTATAAATACTTTAAAATATTCATCTCGTAACTCAATGTCATCACATCATAACAAAATTGAACTTCACGGATCAAACTATAAAAAATGTCAAAAATTTGGAGTATGGAAATAAAAATAAAGGAATAGGTTTATAAATTTATTAAATTCAGGGATCATACATTGATTTATCCCAAAGGAGGGTGGTATGAGTTGGAGAGATTGGAAGTAGGACGCAATACCTTCTCATACTTTTTTGTCTGATCCTTCGATGTATTGATCTTGTGAGCTAAGGCTGCTATGCTGTGCTTCTGTGTCAGCCCCACTTGTCCAAAAGTGCAAGATTGAACCTTTATTTTATTTCTGATATTTTTATAAAAAAAATTAATTTGATAAAATTTTGGACAAATCAACCGAATATTATCAAACGCTCCACAGTCTTCGTTCTAGTGATTTGAGATTATTGACTTCATTTAATTATTAAACATACGACTTATATCTGATAACTAAGCTGTCTATTTTATTCCTGAATTATCAAAAATAAAAGATTTTAAAGTATAGTTTTTAATTCACTAAACACAACATTTAAAACTTTAATATCTTATTTTTTAAACCATAAATCCTAAAACATTGCATTTTAAACATAAAACTTCAAATCATACATCATGATATAGAACTAATAGATCCTACAATAATTGTACTTGCAGTGGCGGAACTTGATCATAGAGTTTGGAGGAATCAATTTAAAAATTTTTAAAAAAATGGAGGTTTAAATTAAAAATTTTAAAAAGTTTGGTTTACATTTTTTTAAATAAATATGATCTAACTAAATTTTTTGAAATTTTGATAGGTTTGATGAGAATTTTTCTGACTGCTGGAGGTTTTCCACGGAAGTTGCTTTCAACCCTGGCGTTAGGGACAACCTACTATCCTACCTCCCCATTACATATGATAATAAAGTTTTATTGTTGATGTTGTTAATGAGAATTTTTCAAATTTATGTCCCCTACTAGCCCCCTTTAGTTCCGCCACTGTGTGCTTATATAAATTTCAATCATAAACTTTAATATTACTCTTTTCATCTCATAATTTGTGACTTATATTAATTATACACAAAGTTTTAGAAGGTTCACTTGATTAATGAAAAATGATAAAATTATTATTAAAAGATGATTGATATATTTTATTTATTTATTTTAATAGATGTAAAAGAAGTGAGATATATAAGTATAAAATAATATAAATATTATCATTTGTTGAATTTTCTAATAAATTAGATAATTTTAAAAAATAAAAGAGAATTTTAATAGGAAAAGAGAAATATTGATTAATAAAATATTAATTAAAAGTAAAAAAATTGATGACTTTAAGGGGTAAAATTGGTTATTCAAAGTTTAAAAATGGACTTTATTAGAAGGAAACAATAAAAATATTACGTCAGAAATAGTAAAATGTCGGCAGGGTGACATAAAATAGACATCCTACTTTTGTCCATCCAGCAACCGTCTGTTACGCATGTGCAAGGGCTTAATAGTCCCGACCGACCTGCCTGTCTGTTTCATAGTTAGATTCTGCTTTAATTAAGTAAATTTAAGTCTCATGTATATAGTGATTAATTAATCTAAGATTTAATTATTAAGTAAGTGTCTAAATTATACTATTTTTTTTTAAATAGGTGTCTAGTTTTTTTAAATTATTCAAGTATTTGATGTTATAAATATTATCATTTTAGGTGTTCGAGTCATAGCTAGTGCTAATTTTTTTCAAGTGACTGATAATTTTGAAAATTACAAATTTTTAAAAAATAAAAAATTATTAAATTTATAAAAAAACTTTAATTTCTCTTAAATTATAAAAAACTTAAATCCTTTACCCTAACCTGCTGAAGTCGTCTTTGCCGACCATGGCCAACTCCACCGACGTAATCCTTGTCATCTTCTTAGTCGTACGCCACTATACTTGCCACTGATTTATAACGTTAGGCACATGTATGATTCAAAAAAAATTTAGGCACATATTTTGAAAAAGTGATATAGTTTGAACACTTATTTTATAATTAAACCTTAATCTAAATCAAAATTTATAAATGTTTGTTATAAATATAATATTTTTACTTTTATTATTATAAAATTTAAATTATTAATTTTACTTAAAATATTTAATATTTTATGAGTGGTTTTAGTAATAAAAGAGAGTCTTTCTTTTTAAAAATCTCGAAAATAATTATTTAAGTATTTACGGTGTGCGCGCGTTGTCAATTACTAAAAAAGATTTTGAACATATATTATCCTATGACTATTTAGATTATTCAAAAAATATTTATATTTAATATATTAGTTAACTATTTTGTATTTAATATATTAGTTAACTAATTTGTATTAGATCATATTAATGTTATATATATATATATATATATATAAACCTTAAAATAAAATTACAATACGAAATAATAAAAGTATAATATCAACATGTGACGCCACTAAATGAGTAGCACGAGGGTCGAAAGTTATCTTATGTGTAATCAATAAGTTGTCTGATATTACCAAAAAAAAAAACGAATAGTAACTCAAAATAATAATAATAAAATATTATGAAAAATATAAAATGTATTAAAAATTATTCGATAAGTATACAATTGTGTTATAAAGGCTGAGTTTTTAATTATTTAAATTAAAACCTTATTACATATGAGTTTTTAAAATTTAAATGCATTTAATTATTCGTTCATTTATTTGTGCATTTTAATAATTTATATTAAAAGACAAATATTTTTATATCTAAAGTTTACTTCAAATTACCCTCAATTAATCTCATCCCTCCATTAAAAAAAGCTCATCCCTTGATTTATTTTTTATTTATTTACTGTTAGTAACTTGCCGTGAGGTGCTCAAATTTGTATTTATTGCAAAACAACCCTTCAATGATCGTCGGGGGTAGTACTTGTACTATATATATCGTTTTATGGTCTAGCCGTGGTGTATTTGTGCGAGGAAGAGATTGATTAGCGTTAGGCTTCGAGGAAGAAAGATAAAGCAGAAATCCCCC